CAAACAAGGATGGGGTCTTACTGCACATGGGGCGCTGTTAGGATTTGGGAAGGATAAAGAGATTTATTATGCATATTCTATGCCTTCGAGACACTTGCAATATGGTAGGAGACAGACCATGAGTAGCTGTAATTAAAATATCAAGATTAGGTTGTACACGAGGTCACGGGGAGGAAGCAGAGCTCACTTCTGGCTTGGATGTGTGAAGAAAGCTACAGGAAGGAAGAGGTGAACTTGAACTTGAATTAGGGGAGGACTTGAATCGAATAGGAATAGGGGAAATCATTGAGAATGCAGACTTTATCCAGGCTGACCTGCTCGGAGTCCGGAATCCCGATCCGCAGCCAACAGGCTGTGTGGCCGTAGTGAAACGACTTCACCTCTCTGAACCTAGCTTCCTCCACTGTGAACTTGGTTAACATATTTTCTTATAGTTTTTCTTTTTCCTGCAATTAGTTGGCCTCTCTCTAGTTGGTCATTCCCGTCAGCACACACGCCACGTGCTATGATAACTACAATGAAAACGAAACGAAAGCCTGTTCTTGGAACCACATCCCTCATTCGGCTCCCACCCTTTTCACTGCCTTCCTTGAGACAGGGGTGGGGAACGTCCGGCCGCATGAGGCCCATGAAATCATTTGGTCTGGCCCTGCCAAGGCATTAGGGGTGAGTTAATTAAATGTTCAACCAACGACAGGGCTAATTTTTAAGCAGATCATTTTGTATGGCCCGAGAATGATGTTATACATATCCAGGTGGCCCTTGGCAGCAAACAGGTTCCCCACCCCTGCTCTAGAACAAGCCCCTGGCACCAGCTGTCTTAGTGCTCTCTGCCCTCTGCTCCCATTCTCACTTGCACCGGCGGCTCCAATCAGGCTGTTGTCCCTATCCTCCCACGGTGACAGCAAGGGTCAAAGTCACCGATAACCTACATGATGTAAAACCCAGAGATCGGGTCTTCATCCAAATCTTCCTTTACTGAAAGCCACATCGCTGGTGCACGTGACCCATCCTGCCTCCTTCTGGCTGCCAGGCTGTCACGCTGTTGGGTTTCTCCAAGTTCCCAGGTCATGCCTCTTTGGAGTTGAGTCTCCTTGCTGTTTTCTCTTCGTTTCCTTGACATGTATTTATTTATTTATTTATTTATTTTAATGTTGTTGTTTTTTACGTTGTTTGTTTGTTTTATTGATTTCAGAGAGGAAGGGAGAGGGAGAGACAGAAACATCAATGATGAGAGAATTCTTGATGGGCCTCCTGCACGCCCCCCACTGGGGATCGAGCCCGCACCCGAGCACGAGTGGAACCTGGGACCCTTGAGTCTGCAGGCTGACGCTCTGTCCACTGAGCCACACCAGCGAGGGCTCTTCTTCAGTCTATCTTCGTTCTGGGGGTGGATTTTGTCGCCATCTCCAGCCTGCCCATCAGCTGCTCCTCGCTGTGCCTGGTGAAATGCCCTCTGGTCTGGCCTCACGCCACCAGGTGTGCGGGGGGCGCCTCGAGAATTGTGTGACCCCACCTTGTATGGGGTCTCTGCTGGAGGCCCCAGATGTCGGTGCAAGGTGAGGCCAGACTCTGAGAACATGGTTCATTTCTGTATGACGTGGGGCATGCTCACGGGACCATTCATGTTCACAGTTGCAAACCTGAGCAAAGCCAAGCTCTCCAACTTGCTCCACGCTGTTGTTGACATAAAGAGCACTGTGATAGCCCTGGCTGGTTTAGTCAGCGGTTAGAGCCTTGGCCCGCAGACTGAAGGGTCATGGGTTCAATTCCGGGTCAAGGGCACGTACCTCAGTTGCAGGCTCCCAGCCCCAGTAGGGGCACATGCAGGAGGCAACCAAACGATGTCTCTCATGTCAACCTTCTCTCTCCTCCCACCCACCGTCTCTACAAAGTCATGGAAAATTATCCTCGGGTAGGGATTTAAAAAGCACACGGTGTGACCAGGGTGTGATCCTCGGTGTCTCATAGGCCAGCGTGTATAAAACCCAGGGTTTAGCCCCGCCGGGGTGGCTCAGTGGTTGAGCATTGAACTATGAACCAGGAGGTCATGGTTTGATTACCAGTCGGGGCACAGGCCCATGTTGCACACTTGATTCCCAGTGTCGGGCGTGTAGGAGGCAGCCGATCCGTGATTCTCATCATTGATGTTTCTATCTCTCCCTTTTCCTCTCTGAAATCAATAAAAAACATATATATAAAATCTGACACTTTAGCCCCGCCGGGGTGGCTCAGTGGTTGAGCATTGAACTATGAACCAGGAGGTCATGGTTTGATTGCCGGTCAGGGCACAGGCCCATGTTGCACACTTGATCCCCAGTGTCGGGCGTGCAGGAGGCAGCCGATCCGTGATTCTCTCTCATCATTGATGTTTCTATCTCCCTTTTCCTCTCTGAAATCAATAAAAAACATATTTTTAAAGTGGTGACAGGAGAAGATTTTATCTTGGGTGGTGGGCACACGGTGCAGTATATGGATCTTGTAACATAGAAGCCCACACCTGAAACCTATATGACCATGTTGACCAGTGTCACCCCAATAAATGTAATGAAAACAAAAACCCGGGGTTTGAATCTCCCGCTTTCTAACCTAAAGTGGAGCAAAGTGGACCCCCATAGACGCAGCGCCCACCCCACAGCACATTCACCCCAATAAATGTAATGAAAACAAAAACCCGGGGTTTAATCTCCCGCTTTCTAACCTAGAGTGGAGCAAAGTGGACCCCCATAGACGCAGCGCCCGCTCCGAGGCACGTTAAGTCATTTGCTCCGAGATACAGACACGGCCTCCTGGTTTGCTGTTCCCCCTGCACGGGCATCGCAGTGAAGTTAGCTACATCCATTCACATCCAAAGTAGGAAGGAAGCAACACTGATCCTGGGATGGTAGGCACTGCAGCCTGCGGGAGGCATGTGAGGCTGGTGGAGCCCAGAGTCCTGGAAAGACGGGGCGTCTGGGCCCATAGGATCCACAGGGCAGCAGCCGGGAGGCGGCGCTGGGGGGACGGAGCTTCAGCGCTCGCTGCCCAGCACGGCTGAGTGTCCGACCTGTCGCAGCCTCTCGTGTCCAGGTCCCTCTGTGGATGCTGAGGTCACAGTGGGGGCGGTTTCCACGGCAACAGCTGCTTTGCGGCTCATCCCTGGAGGTTCTGCCTGCAAGACCCTCATGAAGCCCAGGCGTGTGTCCCTGCACAGCCTCCGTGTCCGCCCTCGGCCGCCCCGCCCTCTGGGTCACTGGGGGCAGGGAGCCTTCCCTTCGCACAGGAAGGCGTGGCCTCGGTGATGCTTCCCTTTCACACAGAAGGAAGGTGGGCACAGGACACGGAACCGCCCACCGTTACACACAGTGACGTCAGAGTGGCTTCCACAGGTCGGGGCTCCTTGGAGGCCACCTCGGGGCCAGCGCTGCGCGCTCTGCAGCCTCTCCACCTCCCCCATCGTCTCGTCTCGGGAGACCGTGGCTCCAGCCCTTGCATCCAAATCAAGAGAAGGGGGAAGGGCAGGCCAGCACAGGCCTCCAGCAGATGCCCACTGCGTCTCATGGGCCAAGACGGGCCCCGGGGCCCCCTCAGGACAGGGGGCTCGGAAAGCTGGTCTTCAGCTTTTCCAGGCTGCATGGTGCAGACCTGCACCCCGAGAAACGGGCGTGGGGAGTAGAGTGGGTAACAGGCAGCTGGCGGGCGTCCTCTGCGCCTCTCTCCTGCAGCCTCACAGGCCCGGTCCCTGGGTCAGACGCCCCTGCCTCTGGCCCATCCCCTCATCCCCTGGGTGGTCCAGCCTGCGGCCAGGCCCTCCTACATCCTGGGGTCCTGCCCCTCTGATCCCTTCCACCTCGAGGGGCTCCTTGTCCTCCCCTCCCCTCTTAAATGTTGGGGGTCCCAGGACAGTGCCCCAGGGCCCGTCTTGTGCTCCTTGCCCTCCCCATGTGTCCTCTCTACACCCACAGCTTTGCTGCTCAGTGCCCCCTCGGCCTCTGGTGCCGAGTTCTAACTTCCGGCCAGAACAGCAGCAGAGCCGTCCTCTTGCTCCAGGGCCCTTTCTCAGGGTCCGTTCTGTCCCCTCTTAAATGTTGGGGGTCCCAGGACAGTGCCCCAGGGCCCGTCTTGTGCTCCTTGCCCTCCCCATGTGTCCTCTCTACACCCACAGCTTTGCTGCTCAGTGCCCCCTCGGCCTCTGGTGCCGAGTTCTAACTTCCGGCCAGAACAGCAGCAGAGCCGTCGCCTTGCTCCAGGGCCCTTTCTCGGGGTCCGTTCTGCACCCCCTCCCCCCGCCAAGCCAGAAGGTAAATGAGCTTTGGCCTCAGTGGCCTCCTGCTCTGCAGACCTCACCACCTGCACGTCGGCTCTTCCTGCTCCTACTCCCCCACCTCCAGCCCCAGAGGAAAGGGACAGGCCACCAAGCAGGCCAGCGCCCTGAACCCCATCGGACAGTCCCTTCTCGCTGCCCCTCTGCTGTGCAGGGTGCAGACTCAGAAAGGCTCCACCGGCCGGCATTCTCGGGAGGGGGACCCAGGTGTGGCTCCGTGTTCTCAGTGGCTCCGGGACTGTCCTGAGGTTGCCCCGTCCCCTCCACCGGGCCCCGAGACGGCAGCACCTGAAGGGCTGTTTCCACGGTTCAGAGTGGGCGCTGGGCGGGCACCCACCTGCCTCCCAGGCAGCCGAGACCTCTGCAAATGTCCCCTTTCTCATCTCATGTCAAAAGTAAAAATGTGGAAGCCGCCTTCGCGTCGACCACGGGGAGTCTAGCTGAGTGGCCTGTGGTGTGAAGTGGAGAACTGCCGGCCTTAAAACTGGGGGTGTCGCCCGAGCCGGCTTGGCTCAGTGGATAGAGCCCCAGCCTGCGGACTGAAGGGTCCCAGATTCGATTCCAGCCAAGGGCACATGCCTGGGTTGTGGGCTCGATCCCCAATAGGGGGCGTGCAGGAGGCAGCTGATTAATGATTCTCTCTCATCATTGATGTTTCTATCTCTCTCTCCTCCCTTCCTCTCTGAAATCAATAAACATACTTAAAAAAAAACTGGGGGTGTCTCCGTGTACGAGCGTGGGCAGAGCTCCAGGACACGTGGTTAAGTGAGACGGTGGGAGCTGTGTGTGTTGTGTCTCCCATTTGTGTCTCACACATCCGCTGTGAGAAAGGGTGCAACGTACCAGCTGCTCTTGGGGAGGAGAAATGGAGGGAAAGGGATGAGGAATAATTTTCACTCTATATCTTTTGATATTTTTGGAATTTTGAAACATGGAAAAGTACTGCCAGTTCAAGAAATAAAATACTCTCAAATGAAAGTAAGTTTAATCATTTCTTCCATTGTTTACTGTCTCTCTCTCCCATTAAAACAGTGGTTCTCAACCTTGGCTGCACATTAGAATCACCTGGGAATCTTCTTAAAATCCTGATTTCTGGCCCTAACCGGTTTGGCTCAGTGGATAGTGCATCGGCCTGCGAACTCAAGAGTTCCAGGTTCGATTCCGGTCAAGGGCATGTACCTTGGTTGCGGGCACATCCCCAGTAGGGGGTGTGCAGGAGGCAGCTGATCGACTGTGTGTGTGTGTGTGTGTGTGTGTGTGTGTGTTTTAGCGGAACCTGGTTAATGTAAAATAGCTGCTACTCGCCCTGACCGGTGAGCAGTAGTTAGAGCATCAGCCTGCACACCACAGGGTCTCAGGCTCGGTCCCGGTCAGGGTGCTGTGGGAGGCAACCAATCCCCATGCACACACATCAGCCCTTCCCTCCTGCGAGTCTCGCCAGGGCCTGGATGTAGGACAGCTGGGACTGCAGAGCACTCCCCCACCTGACAGTCCCCGTAAGGAAGCACGCTGACACCAGGTCCGCGTGGCTCAGTGCTTGAGCCTCGACCTACGAACCAGGAGGTCAGGGTTCGATTCCTGGTCAAGGCACATGCCCGGTTGCAGGCTCCATCCCCAGTAGGGGGTGTGCAGGAGGCAGCCAATCAATGATTCTCATCATTGATGGTTTTCTCTCCCTTCCTCTCAAAAATCAATAATAATAATTTTTTTTAAAGAAGCAGCAGCAGCATGCCAACAGGTGTCTGCTGCCACTGCTGCTGTCCGCACACCTGGCAGAGCAGAGCGGAGGCCTCAGGCTGTCACACAGCAGGGAATTTACTTTATATGATGTTCAGAGCGCACCTTACGGGAAGAGCCGGGAGCTGTCCGAGGTGCTGAAACGTCCTGCGGTTGTTGAAAGGGGAATTGGTTGAAATGACTTAATTAAAATGACAAATCGGGTTTCCTGGCCACACCTGGACTCCACGTTCCCGGGCAGACAGTCATGCGAGTTTCCAAAACTGTCAGTGGTCCCAGCAGGCACCGCGCATCCCAGGACGGGGACCGTGCATCCCGGGACAGGGAGCTCGTATTCTGGGACAGAGCCCTTTCCTCTGCCCCGGCCGCTCCTCCTCTTCTCACCTCAGGGTGAGGCTCAGGACCCTGTCACCAACCGAGGGGGCAGATCTGGGACAGAGGCTCCTGTGGCCACGCTGTTTATCAGCCAAAATCCAGAAAAAGGACGGAGCGGTGACACACAGCTCAGCCTCCAGGTCATGTGCAACCACACGACAGACACGTGGGATCCCTGTACATGGTCCCAGTGAGAGACACACACACAATACACACCCCTCACCCCGGCAGCCACACCCCTCAACCGAGCACACACACACCTCACCCCCTCGCACACACACCTTCAACCTCCCACAGACGGTCCAGCTAGATCCTGCACTCACCGTCCCGCTGCCCCACGTAGGCCCACCTGGACTACAACTCCCGGCGGGCCTCGGGCTGCTGGAGGGCTCCTGCGTGGCACAGTCTATGAACTGTAACCCTGGGCGACGCCCGGTCCAGGTGGCGTGGCGCATTCCGGGAGTTGTGGTCCAGGCGGCCTGCGCGGCGCATTCTGAGAGTTGTTGTGCTTGTGGGCAGCGCGGCGCATTCTGGGAGTTGTGGTCCCGGCGGGCTGCGCGGCGCATTCTGGGAGTTGTAGTTCTGACGTGCGGACGCGCTGGTGGGCTCCTACGTCGGGCGCCTACGCGTCAGCCCCCGGAAGTGTCCCCTCGCCCCACAGTGAGGTGGGTCCGAGGGGGCTCCCGCCGGGGGGGGGCCCGGAAGCCG